AGAGCCCGATGCAGGGCTCGAACTCATGAACTGTGAGATCATGACCTGAGCTGACATCAGATGTTCCACCAACTGAGCCACCCAGGTGTCCCTAGGCCATCCGTTCTTAGCACCAATGAGCACCTGTTCTCCATACTCCAAGCCATTGTTTATTGTCGCCAAGTGAATCCAGCACTGGAATGATCTCTCTCACCCCAGCAAAAGCTACAAACGAAACAATAGCCCTGTGCTGGCAGCATTATTTTATTGCTATCTCCTCCATCTCCTCTATTCTTTTGCAATTACTTTTATTAGCACTGCTCACTTAATGAGACCTTGGAGCTTGGAGCCAGATGGTGCCGTTAGTTAAATCTGGAAGACTCTAATGGAATTGAGTTCAAACCAGGTTAGGAAGAAGAGAATTATAGATCTCATAGCACACTGCTTTGTGCGCCTCAGAAGGTACTGCTGGCTTGAAAAGGAAAGAACTTGGATGAAGCTTCCGAGGGACCACGTGTGCTCCAGTCTGGATGCTGTGGTTCCGCACAGACAAGAAGGCGTGTTCCCTGCCTCACGGAGTGTGCAGTCTACTCACGATCAAAGACAGTTTGAAGCAAGCACACAAGACCCCTGGGCCTTGTGATAAGGGCTGGGAAGGGAGGAAGCAGAGAGCTGATGTGAAAGGACTAAGGGTACACGAAGTTTAGGGGTGCTCAGGAAGGCTTTCCAGGGAGGCGCTAGTTACCCTGATAACCCAAATGGTGGGAAGGAGCTGGGTTGGGGAAAGCACGAGGAAGGAAGGCCCTCACTGTTGGGTAGAAGGAATCGTGCATGGAAAGCTCTAGAAGGGAGACTGCTTTGCATCCCCAAGGAACTGCAAAGGGCCCCCGTATGAATGGAACCGGTCCAGGAAGATGCATGGCCTGAGAGGAGGCCAGAGGTACTGGACCAGAAGTATTGCATGGGACAGATGGACATTTAGACCCTGAGATTATCCAGGGATTAAAACAATTTTTTATAATGTTTATCCATATTTGGGGGGCACCTGGGTGGCTTAGTCGGTTAAGCGTCTGACTTTCGCTTAGGTCATGATCTCGCGGTTTGTGGGTTCGAGCCCCGCGTCGGGCTCTGTGCTGACTGCCAGCTCAGAGCCTGGAGCCTGTTTCAGAGTCTGTATCTCCCTCTCTCTCTGACTCTCCCCTGCTCACACTCTATCTCTCTCTCCTAGAAATAAGTAAAAATATTTAAAAAAATGTTTATCCATATTTGAGAGAAAAAGAAAGAGAGAGAGAGGGAGAGAGAACAAGAGAGAGAGAGCAGAGACAGAGGGAGACACAGAATCTGAAGCAGGCTCCAGGCTCTGAGCCGTCAGCACAGAGCCCGACGTGGGGCTCAACCTCAACAACCACGAGATCATCACCTGAGTGGAAGTTGGATGCTCAACTGACTAAGCCACCAGGTGCCCCAATTAAAAAATTTTGTTTTGAAAATTTTTATTTTTTAGATTTAAATCCAAGTTGTTAACATTTAGTGTAATAATGATTTCAGGAGTAGAGTTTAGTGATTCATCACTTACATACAACGCCCAGTGCTCATCCCAGCAAGTGCCCCCCTTAATGCCCATCACTTATTTAGCCCATCCCCCCACCCAATATCTCTCCAGCAACCCTCCATTTGTTCTCTGTATTTAAGAGTCTCTTAGGGTTTTTCTCCCTCCCTTATTTGTCCTTCCCTTCCCCTATGGGCATCTGTTTTGTATCTTACATCCCTCATATGAGAGAAGTTATATGATACTTGTCTTTCTCTGACTAATTTTGCTTAGCATAATACCCTCTATTCCATCCACATTATTGCAAATGGCAAGATTTCATTTTTTGATTGCTGAGTAATACTCCATTGTGTGTGTGTATATGTATATATACCACATCTTTTTTATTTTAAATTTTTTTACATTTATTTATTTTTGAGAGACAGAGAGAGATGGAGCACAAGTGGGGGAGGGGCAGAGAGAGAATGGGACACAGAATCTGAAGCAGGTTCCAGGCTTTGAGCTGTCAGCACAGAGCCCGATGCAGGACTCGAACTCACAAACGGTGAGATCATGACCTGAGCTGAAGTCAGATGGTTAACCGAATAAGTCACCCAGGCGCCCCAATATACCACATCTTCTTTATCCATTCATCCACTGACGGACATTTGGGCTCTTCCCATACTTTGGCTACTGTTGATAGCGCTGCTATAAACATTGGGGTGCATGTGCCCCTTTGAATCAGCATTTTTGTGTCCTTTTGATAAATAACTAGTAGTGCATCTGCTGGCTGTAAGGTAGTTCTAGTTTTAATTTTTAAAGGAAACTCTACACCGTTTTCTAGAGCAGCCGCACCAGTTTGCATTCCCACCAGCAGTGCATGAGGGGTCCCCTTTCTCTGAATCCTCGCCAACATCTGTTGCTTCCTGAGTTGTAACCTTGGTGGCGATGTGCGGATGAATGAGGTGTGTAGAAAGATCACCTCTGGGCTCAGGACAGTAAATATTCATGAACCATCCAGTATGTGAAGTCACGAGATGCATGACTTTGACCCTTTGTGCAAGGCAGGCAAAACAGAGGCAAAATTTTCATTCATCAAGTTGCCTCCTGTAGTAGCGTTAATGTAACACTTGTGTGCCGTCCTTCCAGTAGGGCCCGGCGGCCACGGTAAACCTACACAGTGTCTCCTCCTCCCCCTCCTTCCCGTCGCTAACAAACGCCTGCCCCCGACCAGCAGCCCGCCCCACGCGCGATCCTGGTAAACGGCCCCAATCTCCTTCCCAGAGGGTCTCCGCTCTTCCTTCCTGGCCTCCGGCCCCTTCTACCTTGTTTGTGCTTCTGCTTCTGTCCAGGCCCCGTGCAGACATGACACCCGCCTGGGAGCCAGGAAAACTGCCAAGAACTCTTATAGCAATTCATGCTTCACCGGTTGGCACTCATATGTGCCTGGTTTAAGCAGGGTGAGCCAGATCGTTCGTTCACTTAAGATCTTCTCCAGACCTGTTGCCTGATACTAACAGATGCTAGGAAGTAAGTATTGAATTTCATTCTTACTAACATTTATTGAGCAATGAATTTGTCAAGGGTTCTTCTAACGGTTTGTACTTTAATCCTCATGTGATGGTTAATTTAAACAATTTTTTTTAAATGTTTTTTATTTATTTCTGAGAGAGAGAGAGAGAGACAGCGTGAGCAGGGGAGGGTCAGAGAGAGAGGGAGGCACAGAATCTGAAGCAGCTCCAGGCTCTGAGTTGTCAGCACAGAGCCCGACGCGGGGCTCAAACCCACAAACCGTGAGATTATGACCTGAGCCGAAATCAGATGTTTAACCGACTGAGCCACCCAGGCGCCTCATGTGATGGTTAATTTTATAAGTCAGTTGGTTATGTTGTCCAGATACTGGGTTGAACATTTTTCTGTTTCTCTACTGATATTTTCAGATGAGGTTAACATTTAAATCAGCAGACTTCGAGTAAAGGAGATTAGTCTTTTGAAAAAAGGAGATTAGTCAATTGAAAGCACCAATAGACAAAAAATGAGTTCCTCTGAGCAGGAGGGAATTGTGCCAGCAGACTGCCTTTGAACTGGACTGCGCCTCTCTTTGCGTCTCTGGTCTGCTGGCCCACCTTGCAGATTTTGGACTTTCTAGCCTCCACCATTTTGTGAGCCTTTTCTTTAAAACAAATCTCTCTGTCCCTCTCTGTCTCTGTCTCTGTCTGCCTGCCTCTCTAAACACCTTGTCGGTTCTGTTTCTCTGGAGAACTCCAATTAACAATACACTTCAGGGGCACTTGGGTGACTCAGTTGGTTGAACATCCAACTTCAGCTCAGGTCATGATCTTGCAGTTCATGAGTTCGAGCCCTGCATCAGGCTCTGAGCTGTCAGCACGGCTGTTTCAGATTCTGTGTCTCTTTCTCTCTTCCCTTCCCTGCTAAAGTCTATCTCTCTGTCAAAAATAAATAAGCATTAAAAAATTTTTAAAAAACACACACTTTATATTTTACTATTTATGCCCATTTTACAGATGAGGAAGTTGAGGTTCAGAGGCATTGAGTACTGTGCACGAGGGTAGACACTTGATGCGTGTGGAGCCAAGATCCCAGGCTAGGCCTTCCTGAGCCACAGTGCAACATGGCTTCTCATGCATGAATACACACTACTAAGTATAAAGTATCTCTCATTTTTTAAAATATTTTTAAAAATGTACTTATTCTTGAGAGAGAGAGAGAGACAGAGCATGAGTCGGGGAGGGGCAGAGAGAGAGAGAGGGAGACACAGAATCAGAAGCAGGGTCCAGACTTCGAGATGTCAGCACAGAGCCTGACGTGGGGCTCGAACTCACGAGCCATAAGATCATGACCTGAGCTGAAGTCGGATGCTTAACCGACTGAGCCACCCAGGCGCCCCAGTATCTTTCGTTTTTAATATTCACCAGCTACATTGGACTCTTGTAGCATGTGAGGATCATCAACACGCAAACACCTTTTCCTCTAAGTGATGTGCAAAATTGTCCGTTAGCAGGAAGCTGTATCTTAGCTCGTGTCCTTGCCCGTCGCATTTAGCTCCTGTGTATTAAATTATCTCCTTTGCTTTCATACTTTCCAAAAACACCTTGAAATAGCCACACCACTTCCATATGCCATCAACCACAAGATCTTTAGGAACACGAGGGAGAGCCCCAAAGACACAGCACTTTAAAATTCACGGTTTTGCCGAAAACACGAAAACACCCCCTTTTTCTAAACGTGCAACTGAAAAAAAGAGACAAAGCAGCACATGCGGATGAAATTAAGACGGAAAAACAAACAGCACCCACAGGCGACCGGATCCTGATGTCTTTCGCCGTGGGCTAAAGTCCCCTGCTGAGGTCAGAACTTCAAAAGTAGCCTCAACCTGGACCGTTTCCATAGGAAACGCCAGCAGTAAATATTGACCCCAAGATCAATGGTTTCTGTTTAAGCTGCAGGCTGCTCCGGTCGGAGAGAGCAAGCCGGGTCACATTTGATCAAGAGCTGCTTTCTCAGACACATAGACACGATCTCGCTGCCTCTGAATGAAGATTCTTCCCCGAATGGAGCAGATAGGGATGAAGATACTGATTGTGCTTGTTCTTGGAATGAACTTGCCGTCTTGTGCAGGTAAGGAGCTCAGCGCCAGGCCCCACTGCCCTTAATGCCTCGGGCGCCATCCTGGCCAGAGGCGGGGGTGGGGTGGGGTGGGGGGGTCTTGTCTCACTGTGTCCCCCACATCCTTTCACGTCCAGGTTTTCCGGTGTATGACTATGACCCGTCCTCCTTGCGGGAAGCCCTCGGCGCGTCTGTGGCAAAAGTGAATGCCCAGTCCTTGAGTCCGTATCTGTTTCGAGCCTTCAGAAGCTCAGTCAAAAGAGTAAGTACAGGGGCGCCTGGGGGTAGCTCAGTCGGTTAAGCGTCCGACTTTGGCTCGGGTCATGATCTCACTGTTCATGAGTTCGAGCCCTGCATTGGGCTCTGTGCTGACAGCTCGGAGCCTGGGGCTGGTTTGGATTCTGTCTCCCTCTCTCTCCGTCCCTCCCCCACTCTTGCTCTGTCTCTCTCGCAAAAAATAAGTAACCATTAAAAATAATAAAAAAAGAGTAAGTGCACATTCTATCTTGATTCTTTCTACTGTTTTCTGTTCCTTTTTTTTTTTTAATCCTTTCATCTATTGGGTCCACTTTAAAATGTTTTCCAGTTTAAAAAGATAACAGCTAATCCTCGTTTTTGAACTTTTTTTCATGAGAAAGAGTTTAATTACAGTTCTTGTCATCAGACCCTCAAAGCCACTTTGGATGCTGGATCCCTCTGTAGCTTCCCCTCTGGCCTGGTTTCCTCCTTCCAGATGTTACCCTTCCCGCAGCCTGCTTCTCTATCCGGGTTCCTCTTGAGAGGTTTCATGAAGAATGGCTCCTTTATGGGAAATGAGGGGTTTTTTTTTTTTTTTTTTGGACCTCCTGCTCCTCATCCTTAGACGAAATAAATTCCGCCTTTTGAGCCAAAGAAATCCCACCTTCTTCTGTGAATTTGGTAGTGGTCTGCGTCCTGTTAGCTTTGGGAAATGGGGAAGACAGGAGTTTTCTTGGGCTTCCGATCACTCAGTCTGTGATCAGCGAAGAAAGAAATGCGGAAAGATGCCTCAACGCCTGGACAGCAAGTCCCCTTCCCCCCCTCTGTCCCCAGTGACTTCCTGGCCTACTTATGGTCGTGGGCTGGGTGGGAACAGAAGTCCCCCCAGGCACTGGGTGCTAAGATGGGAGGTGGGGGAGGGTCTGTAAAGTCACGGGTCGGGTGGTAAGAATGAGAGCTCCGTGCAGCCAGGCCACAGGGCACCGGGGCAGAGAGGCAGCCAGGAGTGTAGGCAGCGGCTACACCCCCTCAGGGGCCCAAGGCCTTTGCTTTCTTTCTGCCTGCAGCTCGCCTAGCCCTCTCCAGCGGGGACTGGGTACCGCCTCAGCTCACAAGTACCTTGTTCTCTCTCCTGCTGTGAAAAGCACACGGCTTTCCTAGCCCCATGTTCGAATACAGCACATCCATCCTGACCCTTGTTCTGAAACGGGCTCGGTTTCTCAAGTCCAGATTCCCAGGAAATTAAGTGAATTGTCTCAGTTATGTTTTCTAATTGGGCCATAGGTCATGAAGGTGATGGGCTGTGTTTTAGCTAAATGCCCAGGCGTCAGGGCCCGGAGTGGGGTTCGGGGACACTGGGAGACAGGTCAGCTGCCAGGCTGCCAGGTGCATTCCTTCTGGAAGAGTAAGGATCAGAATCAAGGACGCCCCTTTTGCACACTGGCTGCGTTGGCTTCCATCTTTCGCATTTAACGAAATCTGCTTGTGGTGTGAGGGCATCAGCGTCCTCTGGCTGAGCTTACAGATACAAGGTTTCAATTTACCTGTAATCTGGCTGATACTCACTTCAGAACAAAGTTAGTGGCTCGGTAAGTGAACAGGAGTGTGAGGGTGGGGCCTGACACCGTGGAAATCTGGCCTGCAGGGACGGGTGGGGTGAGGTGCGCCTCCCCAGGGCACATTCTAGCATGTGCGCCATCTTGTATCAGACACGTGAGTCAGACACAGGTGCACCTGCAAACCACACCCACGCATGCGTCCCCGTGATGCTTGGTGATTTCGTTCACAGGCGACGCCTTTCCTCTCCGGCTCTTCCCTCTGGAAATCTGCCTATTCTTCTTCTCATCAGCCTTTTCGGATTACTAAGCATGTGAAACAATAAAAACAGCAAACATTTGTAACTTTTGATCTCCTAGTTTCACTCTAGGAATATATCCAAAGGATGAAGTGGCTCAGTCGTGTTGATGTACGTGTGGGGGTTTTGGGGTCCCGGTCAGGGACTCAGGGAGGAGGGTCAGGTCCTGCTACTGTATTCCTGAGTTTGCCTCCTATGCCCGGAGGCTCTGGACCCCGCGCGTCAGCATGGCCGGAGCCGGGACGCCTCCTGATGTTGGGGAGGGAAGGTCGAGTAATTAGGTCTCAGGCTCCAGGGTGGCGACCACATTCTTCAGTGTTCTCCGCGTCATTCTCATGTTCATTAGGGGTTAAGAACCCTTGGGTTTCATCAGTGGACCTGGGTCAAATATTCTTGCAATTGCTTCAAAATGACTTGGGTCCACATTTTTAAAAGATGGGAAAAGACAAGACAATGTGCTCTGACATCGACACTGGACTTGCTCAGATCCTTCCGTCAGGATCACGGGCGGGGGAGGAAGGTGGACATGGGCCCTGTGCTGGGGAAAATAACAGAATTCGGGTTCCGCTGGGGACGGAGCAGAGGGTGGGAAAGACGGAGGATGGGATGTACCACTACATGAACAAATGAAGTTCGTTTCGGAGGGCGGGGCGCACTGCGGGGAAAGCAGAACAGGCAGAGGAAGGGGTGGCCGGGCCGCGGCCGGGGCAGCCGTCACATGGGGCAGAAGACTCAGTGACAAGAACCTCCAGCCATGGGGGGGATCGTGGGGGGGGGATCTAGGGGGCTGAAGGCCTTGAGAGAGGGTCCGGCAGGGCCAAGTGAGCTCGGAGAGGTGGGCCTGATTTGGGACATTCCCAGAGCATGACTTTGAGAAGTCCAAAGTCTGTTTTAAGGACAACGGAAGATGCACAAACGCGCAGGCAGATCTTCGCGCTTGGGAAGACTCTCTCCAGCTGCCGCGTGTGGACTGGGGAGCCAGGGAGGGGGCCGAGCCCCCCGCCACAGGGAGCAGGTGGTGATGGAGGGCAGCTGAGGTGACAAGGGACAACTAAGCCTGGGGTGGGTGCGGGAGGGTGGGGGTGCCTGGGTTCCGGGGCAGATGGCAGCAAAGCCACGGAAGGTTTGGGATCCTTGGATGTCTGTGCCCCTTTCTGTCCATTTTTACCGTTCATCTTCTTTGCTTCCCCCCAACCCCTGCTTTTTCTTCTAAATAATTTTCTAAATTATTCTTAGCTTCGTACCTGATCTTTACTTTTTGTCCAATTGTAAGGATTAGTTTGAAAAACCTAAATGATCACCGTATTAGGCTTCTCCAGAGCAGAACCAATTGTGTGTGTGTGTGTGTGTGTGTGTGTGTGTGTGTATAGAGAAAGAAATGCGGGAGGAAAGAGAGAGTGAGTGAGATTTACCTTAAAGAATTGGCTTACGCTATGCGGATGGAGGTTTGGGAAATCCAGAATCTGCAGGGTGGGCTGGCAGGTGGTTGTGAAGTTCATGTCTGAGGGCAGGAGGCTGGCAGATTTCCTGCCTGCTCAGGAAAAAGACAATTTTTGCTCCATCCAGGCCTTCAACTGGTTGGTGAGGCCCACCCACATTTAAGGAGGATGATCTGCTTTATTCAGATTCACCAATTTATTTAAAAACATTTTTAATGTTTATTTATATTTGAGAGAGGGAGAGAGAGCGAGCGAGCGAGAGAGCAAGTGAGCGAGGAGTGGAGTGGCAGAGAGAGAGGGAGACACAGAATCTGAAGCAGGCTCTGGGCTCAGAGCCTAGCTGTCAGCACAGAGCCCGACCCACAAACTGAGATCATGACCTGAACCAAAGTCGGACTCTTAACCGGCTGAGCCAGCCAGGTGCCCCCCAAAGTCACCAATGTAAATGTCAATTGCATCCCAAACACACCTTCACGAAAATATCCAGAAAACATCCACGAAAATCACCAAAATATTTTTTGACCAAAAATCCAGGCATTGTGGCTCCGTTAAGTTGACACATAAAGTGAACCATTATAATCACCAAAAGGAATTGTCATGGACTTTTATTGCTTATATACTTTTACTTCTGTTTGGAATGAAACCCCCAAATATTCTCATTATACAAAGTCAGAAAATACAACAAGAAAGAAAAAAACAAAATTACTATCTATTATCCATTCCTCTGAGACACCCACTGTGAACATGTGGGAGAATGCCTTGCTGGACCTTTTTCACGTATTGGAATAAAATATATTTTCTTTAAAGACAAACAGGAGCGTAGTGTAACAGTTGTGAAGTCCCGTGATTTACTTCACTACAATTTAATCCAACAATGCTGGATCTTGGGTTTCCTCCAGTTGATTCCTTACCTTCAGACATTTAAGTTGTCTCGCCTTTTTTAAAACAACACAGAGAGGAAAAGTCACTGGTTGAAACTGAGTTTCCACGAAAAGGCAAAATCATTAGGCTTTTCTTCTTATTCTGAACAGAGTGCGTACAAGTGCTTAAAGATGGAAAAAAAAAAAAAGGTTGCAAACTTATCTCAGAGTTCAAGAAAATTATTTGTATTCGAAAATTTCCACATGTTCCTCTTTTCAACCCAGGCTTTGTGACTCCAGTTTGCTCTCACTGGGTCGCTTTCAGGGAAACTGCTGACGTGTGATGTGGGGGAAGGGCCCCACCAATGGTCTCCAGCTGAATAGGGTTCTTTCTTTATGAGACTGATTTATTATCCAATGTTTTAAAATTATGAGTAAATGAAGTGGTAAATATTGTGGATGTTTAGTGTTACTTCTTTCCAGAAAAATCTACTTCTACGAGCATGCCTCACCCAGTGTTATAAGGAGATATGAAAGAGGCGCCTGGGTGGCTCAGTGGGTTAAGCATCCGACTTCAGCTCAGGTCGTGATCTCACAGTTTGTGAGTTCGAGCCCCGTGTCAGGCTCTGTGCTGACAGCTCAGAGCCTGGAGCCTGCTTGGGATTCTGTGTCTCCCTCTCTCTCTGCTCCTCCCCCACTTGCGCTTTCTCTCTGTCAAAAATAAATGAACATTTTAAAAAAGTTAAAAGAAAGGAATAGACATGAAGGTCCCCCATCCCAGGCTGGGAGTTTGTCACTTATTACCAAACAAAATGTTCTGCGGGTTCCGGCTCTTTTCTACCTGTGAGCGGTCCGGGCTCTCACTGAGACCTCTCCCCACCTTCTTCTCACTGGACTGAAAGGGACTTGAGGTTTGGAGCCTGGGTGTGTGGCCAGGTACTGGGCCGTGGCAGCTCCTGTCCGGCCTCCCGGCTGCCATCTTCTTCCCGCCCCTCCCCCTTGTGTGATTCACATCTTAGCCCTTAAATCCTTCTGAGACCTTTCTATTGCAATGAGAATGAAATCTAAACACCGTCCCATGGGCAGCAGGAGCATAAATTACCAGACACCCCCCGCCCCCATCTCTCACACATCATCGTGTAGGGTTCCCCTCTTGCTCATTTTGCTTCGGCCACAACCGCTGGACTTGTTCTGCCCCAGGACATTGGCTCTGCCTTTTCCACACGCGATGAGCTCTTTCCCATTCTATAAGCCTCAGCGGAAAATATTTCTTCCTTGGGAGGATTTCTCTGGCATGCTGTCCCCAATACTTCCTCCTCTCCACCCCATCACCATGTTGCTTTTTCCCTCATGACACCATAACCATCCACAGCCACCTCGCTTAGCTTCCTTTATCGTGTTTACTGTGTGGCGCTTAAACTGCCATCCAGGCTGCACGGAATCCTCCCTGCTCTGCCTGTGGCGCTGGGCACACAGTGGAGACTCCCTGAGTCCTGAGACTTCTGTGTCATCAGAACACTGCAATTCGTCAGGGAGTTTGGAAGTTTCTCACTTGTCTATAAAGTCACCATACACACTAAACACGTCCTGAGCCATGGCTCCTCGTCTACCATGCGCATTTTCTCCTTACGGCACGTCCAGGCCTCTGCGTTTGGGAGCCCTGGACGGCTCTCTTAAGTCTACACCCAGGGGCCATTTCAAACAGCAAAATCACCAGTAGAAAACACAGAAATGAGAAAAACTGGGCCCGAAAAAGACCAGGAAAGTGACGCTAGCCTACAGCATGATGGCAGAAACCAGAAGGCAGAGAGCTGCCTTGACTGATCTCAGCTGGGAACGTGTGCACAGGGCACCTCAAGTTCTTTGCCCCTCCGCGCATGCCTGTGGATGGCAGCAAAGGGACTCCGAACTTTGATTTTGGGGTTATAAATAAATTTTTGTGAGTAGGCAAATTGGCAAAAATGGAGTCCGCCATGAGGATCAATTATAAATGGAAATCATCATAAGCAATGTTGACCTTGGATTTTGAACGCCTAAGTTCTGACTCCATTTTTTTTTTTTTAATGAAGTATTATGTGCCTTTGGAAAAACATCTCTTCTTCTGGTCTTGGACTGAGGGCCTGGAACTGGGAGATTCCACAGAGGGTCTGTAACTTTTTCTTACTGTGCAGGGAGGAACATTTGTAGCGTCATAAGCCTCAGAAGCTCACCAATGGCAAACTGATGCTTTGTGTCTGTGAAGGTCTATGTCCTGGAGCAGGACAGCTTGAACATGGACCTGGAGTTCGGCATTCGGGAGACCACATGCAGGAGAGATTCTGGAGCAGACCCTTCTACCTGTGACTTCCAAAGGGGCTACTACGCGGTAAGCGGGGCAGGAAACGCCGAATCCCAGAAATTAACATGCAGAAGCGCCTCATGTCTTCCATGACCCGGGGCTGTGCCCAGTCATACGGATGCTCTGGTCTCCAGGCACACGGGGCGGGGGCTCTAACTGTGTCCGTGCTGTGTTCCCTGCGCAGGGGCAGTGCGACTCAGCGGTTGAGGGCTTGAGCTCTGGACTCCATGGTCTTGAGTGATCTTGGCAAATTATGTAACCCCTGCTGCCTCAGTTTCCTGCTCTTTGAAATGGGTACAATGATGGTTCCGGGCTAAGTGAATACAAAGAGGCCAGTCCCAAAGGCAAATTCCAGAGATATTTTAAATTCCATCTTAAACTAATCTAACACTGTTCTTGGCATGAGCCACGCTATTTTGTAGCTGACCATTGTATAATAGGTCAACTGGCTCTGGTTCTATTGAACCATGTCATGTTCAATTTTGTTTGCCTGGTGACCAGACTGCGGTCCAACAGTAGGTTACCACCTGTGGGCAGGAGTCTGGGGTAGCAGGCCAATACCACCACGCCAGCTCTCCATCTCCAAGGTGCCTGCCTGCAGACGTAGGAGTTCTCAGGGTTTTGTGAGTTTATGAGTTTGTTACTTTATGTCAGAGTCGCTTTGCAACAATGTAAACTCTAAAAAGGAAATCCTTTATTTTGCTACGTATTTCATGAGACTTTCCTCTGTGACTGTTGGACAAAGGGCTCAAACCCAAGTGTCACAGCATCTGCTCCTAACGGACCCTGAGGCCAAAGGAGAGGAGAACACAGTCCTTGGGTCCTTCCGGCTTCCTTGTGTTCCAGTGGGAAACTTCGGGGCAGCCCGCTTAGTGCTCACAGAGGTGGTGTTTGCTCTCCAGGGGAACTCAAGATACACCACACTCCTAACAGCCCATCTTGAGATATTTCATTTGTGTAGGCTTCGCTCCTGAGAGATTTTCATTTCGGAAACGCGAGGTGCCTCTGAATTTCCCCCTTCTGTTTGTGTCCTTCCATCAGGCATTACAGCATTGACTGATCTCTGAGACAGGCCCCAACCCTTCCTACGAGCTGCTGAGGATGCAACTCTCTGTTTTCCCTTCCAGCCGGCAGCTGTTTGCAGAAGCACAGTGCGCATGTCTGCCGAGCAGGTGCACGACGTGTGGGTTCACTGCCGCTGGTCATCCAGTTCTGAGTCTAACAGCAGCGAAGAGGTAGGACCAGGGGCTGGTGTCTCCCGGGATGGCACCTGGGAGGCTCTGTGTGGGTCTGTGACCAGCAGACCCATGTGATAGACTCACCAGAATATCGCCCAGGAACGGGCAAGCCCAGCTCTGCTTGCTTGGCTGGCGTCTCCCGAACTTCCCAGACTCTCTCTCTCTCTCTCTGTTTCCCAGAGATTTGGAAACAGAGAGCTTAAGGCAACAGTTGGCAAATCTTTAAAGTTTTAGAACCAAGTATGCAGCTCACTGGCACTATGTTTAGTGGAGGGAAGAGGAAGGGCAGTTTTGTCGTACTGGGTACTTAACTCCATGATGGGCCGGCCGCCTCTTCACCAGTGAGATGCCATCAGGAAAGACCGCCTGACAGCACTGTGAGAACTGAGTAAATTGGTGGAAAAGAAAGATCTGGTCCAGCGTCTGGTCCAGGAGAGATGCTGGACGTGGCTCCCGGAGTCTGCAACTCAACTGAAATTGATTTGGTTTCAGGATCTATTTCCTGGGTGTTAGGATGGGATGAAGGGCTTCTTTTTTTTTTTTTTTAATTTTTAAAAAATGTTTATTTTTGACACAGAGAGAGACAGAACATGAGCGGGGGGAGGGCAGAGAGAGAGGGAAACACATAATCCAAACCAGGCTCCAGGCTCTGAACTGTCCACACAGAGCCCGACGCAGGGCTCAAACCCACAAACCGTGAGATCATGACCTGAGCCAAAGTCGGACGCTTAACCGACTGAGCCACCCAGGCGCCCCAAAGGGCTTCCTTTTCTAGACTCCAGTGGAAGGTCTAGGAAGTCTGATGTGTTTTTGAGCTGACACACTCATGTGTCGTGGCCCGGCCAACCCAGAAATGACAAGGACCCAGCACAGCATTTCACAGGCATTTTGTTCGTATTAATTTTGTGGCTTATATGGGAGCAGCTAGGGAGAGAGTGAGGAGTGAGACAAGCAAGTCCCGACCCGTGTGGAGTTTGTAGACGAGTAAATGGGGGGGGGGGGGGGTCCGTGCAGCAGGGCTGGTCCTGACCACCAGGCGAGCATTTGGAGACATAGGTTGAGAGGACACAATATCGTCAGGGGCAGGGAGAGCTTCCCTGGGGAACTGACGTTCGCAGCAAGAATGTCCATCGGGGCAAAGGGGACAGGCGCTCAGCGGAGGGAGGAAAAGCGACTCCAAGCACAAGGGGACCATCAGGGGTTCTGTGACGTGCAAGAGAAGCTGGTGAGTTGGAACGGGCAGAAATCATCACAACCGTCATGAGCACAATACGGGCACAGACACATGAGGGTTGATCCGGAGAGGAAGGGATGGACCTCTGGGCTCGTGTCTAGGATCCCTGGCTTCATCCTAATGACAATGGCCCTATGGTCAGCTGAGACCAGGTGGGGACCCTAGGAGGCAGGCAGGACGGGTGAGGGAAGCCAGCAGCAGCTGGGAGTGAGTAGTGAGTGTTGAGAAATGGATTCTAGTTCATTCTATGGCCTTTAACACATGGAAATGAACTCAGTAACTGCCCCTCTCCATTAAATCCCTCTTCCATCACTGGTTTGGGAAGTCAGTTCTGATCACACAACCCACACATCTGTTGCAACTTTTTCATGGCATAGTGAAGACTGCCCACTTCTGCCAATCCAAGCTTTGTAAGAAGACTCTGACATTTCCTTAGGTGAGCCCCTGAAACAAGCAAGGTTGTGAAATAAACTCTCAGGTGGATGTCCTTCAAAGATTAAGAGGTCATAAAGAATGATGAGCAAATTAAAAAAAAAAAAGAATTCTTTAAATTAAAGAGTTCTGTAATTTGGAGGAAGAAAGAGAAAGCAGATGGAGATTTCAAGTAATTCCTGGAAACTCTGAAATAGATTTCTTATATGAAACAGGAAAAAAAATGAGAAAACAGCTTTTAACCATTTTCAGTGGAATAAGCAGTGATATTAGAAACATAAAAGAAACTAAACTAGGATGAATTTAGGCACCAGACAAAGAAATCATTGTTGGAAGTAGGAAATAGAAGAAATAAAAATGAAAAAAAAAATCCTGGGGTAATGAAAATGAAGATCATTTGAAAAGCATATGTAGTTTATAGAAACAATTCCAGGGAAAGGAATATGATGTGAAGAAAGGTGTAAACCATGGAGGATAAGACTGAAAATCCAAAATATGAAAACTAAGGATTTAGATCAAAGGGAAAATATCTCCCAAGGATATAATGAGAGACACCATAAATATTAGAAGTTTGGATTTTTCCCTTACATGATTTTAATAAGTATAAAAGCTGTAAGGAAATATGAGGAAATAAATGTCTAAGTTTGCTAATATTCTTCTCTCCTTAACCAAGTACATATTTGAATTGTGGGTAGTTTCTATGATTTTTTGTTAATTTTGAAGGAGAAATATAGAGAGGACAGAGGGTTCTGTGGCACCTGAGTGCATAGTCAACCACTTAATGGTTTAGCCACCGTCCAGAGTGTGATGCTAATTCCTGTAGGTTGATGAGGGAACTTGACTTTAGACAAACACTGATTTGGAGTAGTTGGGATGAGATTTGCCTATGGCTTCAGCCAGGAGACCCAGAAACAATCCAAAGGGAGAAACTGAGGAAGAGTAACTGAAATGGAATTCTGATCTCAGGGGATGAGAGGTGACAGGCATTTAACTTATTTACCGTGTTCCATCGCAAATGATAGAAACTCAACTACAACTCGCCTAAGCCAAAACGGGTAAGTCCCTGGATCACATTCCCAGAAAGGAAGGGGCGGAGTTGAACTCATGGACCAGTTCATTTAGGAATCTTCCATACCACCTTTGCCAGCTTCTCCCTCCCCCCCTCCCCCATCCCCACCACTTCCCCTCCCTTCTCTGCTTCCCTCTTTTACTGCAGATGAGCTTTTTCCTTTCAGCAAGGCCACACACTGCTCCAGATTCAGATCCTCTAACTTAGGGGGGGAAAGGCAGCATTTCTCTCTAGCCCTACTGGACATGCCTCTTGGCATGACTCCCATTGGCCTGGCTTAGGTCATGTATTCCCCAGACCATTTTTTTCAAGTTTATTTATTTATTTTCAGAGAGAGAGAGAGAGAGAGAGAGAGAGAGAGAAAGAGAGAATCCCAGGTAGGCTCTTTGCTGTGAACACAGAGCCCAACATGGTGCTTGATCCCATGAACCAGAGTTGATGACCTGAGCTGAAATCAAGAGTCGGACACTTAACTGACTGAGCCACGCAAGTCCCCTCCCTTTTCTTTTAATAACACCTTTACTGAGTTATAATCCCCATAGCATACAACTCACCCTTTTAATGTGTCCAATTCAGTGGCTTTTAGTATATTCATAAGGTTGTACAACCACCACCACTATCTAAGTCCAGAATGTTTTCATCAACTGAAAAAGAAATCTCATCCCTGTTAGCAGCCATTTCTGTGCTCCCCATTCCCCAGCCCCCAGCAATCACTCATCTGCCTTCTGGGTCTATGGATTTGCCTCTCTGGCCATTTCATACTAATGGAATTATACAGTATGTGTCCTTTGTAACTGGCTTACCTCACTAAGCATCATGTTCTGGAAGTTCAACCTGATGTATTGGTACTTCAGTCCTTTCTAGTGTTGAATAAGATGCTATTGTATGGATATACTACCTTTGATCTATCCATTCAGTACTTGATCAACATTTGGGTTATTTCTGCTATTATAAACAATGATGGTATGAGCATTGGTGTGCAAATTTTTGTGTGGATATATGTTGTTACGTATATGGACTTTCAGTGGCTTCGTGGAATCTACTTGTGCAAGACTTTTCCTAACTGAACACATTAGGGGAGCTTCATGCCCAGAAAACCCCCACATCTGATCTAAATGCAGCCTATTTGCAAGTCCATATGAAAGGTTCTGTATTTCTGCTTCCCAACATTTGGGAGCACATTCTGAGTCCAGTGGAAAGCTTTTCAGGCAATTTAAACTTCATGTAATTTGCTCTTTGCCATGTGCTTTCATAGACATACATCTTTGACACCACATCAAATTATTTAATACAATAAATTGCCTTATTTCATCAAAAATGAATTATGTGATACATCAGAATCCTCCTGATAATGTTTGCCTTTTTTACAATGTGTTTTTTCTCTTTCTCTTTTTCATGTGCTGAAATGACTTAAAATTGAGTTAGATGGGTTTTGGGGACATATTTGGTTCCTCTACATGGAGAAACAGCTATCTACTTGGTAAGTTGAGATATGTTCTTTTTAATGTTTTCCTTTCTTGAAACAACTTTATATTGTAATTCTCTGTTAATGAGTCATTAAAACTGGAAACACTATCCATACCTTTGAACAATTACAGTATTCCAGAAAATGAGCATCTTCTTTTATTTTGTTCCTTTCTTACCAGTAGGCAATAACGATACAACTTTTCATTAGGTATCCCTTTATGTTTATACAGAGATTTTCCATACATGATTCCATTTGAAGGCCCTGTGTGTCAAGCAGGCAGGGCAGAAGTTGGATTTTACCTTGAGAGGCCCCCTTAACTTGAACATGCTTATTTCCTTCTGGGTACATAGCCTGGGTTGTAGGACCCAAGTGTGCAACAATGTGTGGCTGGAAGGCCTGGACTAAAGCTCATCTCATTGATTGAGGGTGAATTCTGTCTTCCTGCAGCCATGTGATGAGAACTGACCATCCCTTTAAGAGTCTTGGTTGAGGGAGGGAGGGCCCTCCTTCCTTTCCTTTTTGCGTGGGCTCTCAGTTGAAGTGGGGTTGGGTTAGGGTTCAATGGGCTAGGAGCCATTTTTACTTTCCTGAGCCTTTTTCTTATTGGTGCTGATGGTGATCTTCCATTGTTTCCTTGCTTAAAAGGAGGCATATTCGGGGCATCGATAATAAAATCACAGAATATTCTGGAAATGGAGAAAGGGTCTTGCCTGATGACTGTTCTTGTACTACAGGTCTCATTCCTGACAAATCCAGAAGTGAACAGTTATATGAACGGTCACTTGGTAAGTGGTCCTACTTTTTTCCATGCGACACCAGCAGAGGCTTTTCGGATCAAGCCAGACTCTGTTGAAACCATTTCATAGTAGATTAACCCCAGAAATACAAAATATTTAAGTGCAAACGGAAAGAGCAGTACTGCACGAACTTGCTTTGTGAATCACTAAAAAGGTAAACATGAGGCATCAAAACTTACTTAAATGTTAGCAGGAATCAAAATATCACATCTGGTTGAGGACATTGGCATTGACCTTTCCTCCTGCCCCACTTTGGGGCATTTTCTGAAAAAGTGTAAACTCTCTTGAACCCCTCTTTGCCATCTGTTTTGAAAGGTGTTTGGGGGCCAGCAGATGAAGTGAATAAGACTGGAGTTCCTCTCTTTTACAGATCACTTTCCTCATTTAATCTTCTTGATAGCTCTGTGAGCCTGCTTTTATATAAGAGATGAGTGATAATTCGTGGTGTTAATTGTATATGCAAAATACTCTGTGCTAACTGGTTGACCCAGCTTTCTCTTTCACAACCATCCCAGGAGGCACTGCATTCCTTCCCATTTTGTGGACGAACAAACTGAGACTTAGTGAGTTTCTGTAGTTTGTCCAAGGCTACATTGCCAATGTAGGAGATGGATCTACAGACAGTACTTTATTTCTGATCTGTCAGACTCTAAAGCTTCTGTTTTTGCCAGTGCTGTTTTTGGGAAGAGTTGTGAAATTCACTTTATTTTGGATTTCTTCATTAAAATGAATACAGATATTAATATTTCATTAATATGTGTTTGATCCTCACTTGGCATACTGAAATTTATTTGAAGTGCCAAAGCTTACAACCTGAGGCTTGATTTAAAACAAGAAGTTTTAGACTCCCTCTGAGTTGTCTGGGAGAACATAAAATTATTTGAACAGCGTGACCATTGCTGAAGACATTTTTTTTGAATGCTTCTTTTTTTGGAATTGCCTTCAGAATCTATGGCCCATTCTTTCAAACTGCTGTAGCGGTGGACAGTGTGTGTCCTTGGATTTGATTTTGGAAATAGCCAAAATGAAAGTGACTAATCAGATTAATAACCAACTTGGGTACATTAGTTATATATTGTTGTGTGTCAAATCATCCCAAAACTCAGCAGCTGAAAGCAACAAATGTTTGTTATATCACAATCTTTGAAGGTCAGGAACCCAGAGGCAGCTCAGCTGCGTGGTTCTGACACAGCCCCTAATAAGGCTGCAGATAAGATATTGTCTGGGGCTGTGATCTCATTTGAAGGCTTGACTGGGTCTGAAGGATCCACTTCCAAGGTCACTCACATGGTTGTGAAGAGCCTCAGCTCTTCATGGGCTCTGGGACTGAGAGCTTAATTTCTCCCACTGTGGGCTTTCCCGTAGGGCTGTCTGAATGTCCTCAAAATGTGACAGCTGGCTTCCCCCAGAGACAATGATGAGAGGAAGAGAGAGGGAGAGAGAGGGAGAGAATAAAAGAGAGAAGGAGAGAATAAGCATGCCACAGAGCACTTGAGACAGAAGACATGGTCTTTTGTTACCTAATTTTGGAAGTTATATATCATCACTTCTGTGTATTTTATTAGTCACACAGGCCAACTCTGGTCCGGTGACCAAGTATGAAGTCCAGGAGGCCATCTTGGGGGAGGCTGGCTACGCATTGGGAAAATGCCATTTGGGACCAAAACTACTTTATGGATATAAATTGATGTGACTGATCCTTTTTGCACAGCTCAGAAGGTGATTCCAGAGCTGAATTTTAAAAACATTTTGGGCCTTGGGAATGTCATGGATACACGCGCCTGAGCATCTGTCTCTGAGATTTCTTTGAAGACAACAATTTAATTTATTCCACCAAATGTGTGTGACAAGCACTGGGCAGATCTCACGGAGGACTGAAAGACAAATGTGACAGTCCCTGCCCTCGAGGCTTACAGTAGTGGCCAGGACAGATCACACGCGCAGAGAAATATGCCTGGGTTCAGCTGTGATGCCTCGCAGGGGAGAGTGAGGGAGAGCCGGGTAAGGAAGATGGAGCTGTCCTGTCTTGGGCATCCCTCGGCAGTGTGGGTTGGCTCATGCCGGTCATGACCGTTTCCACTACTTATTGTCGTGGGGCCCATGTCATCTCACATGTTGGTGTGAATGACAGAGCCTATCCTTCCTTCTGTCTGTAGAAAGCCTGAGAAGGATCTTTCCTCCTGAGAATCGAGGGTACCCGTACAGGAGGCACAGAGCAAGAACAGACACTGGCTTTGAGTAACGGCCTCGAGGTAAGGGGACACGGCTGAAAACACGCATATTTAGAAATAGAAGCTGCTTGGAGCGAGCGCCTGGGCACTGCTGCCCCCAAACGTCTTACTCTGCTGCTCTGTTCTCACCCTCGCCTCCCCACCTCCTCGCCTCCTCCAAGCCTCTGCCCTTCAGGCGCCTCTTCCATCCCATGCACCTCGGGCTTTCTCCTGTGGCTTTTGTAATCATCACCTCTGGTGTGACCAAGTGTCCAGTTGAAGGGCAAACAGACAGACAGAACAGCCGTTCCTTTGATGCGTCCCCATCCCAGCAACTGCCCGCCCTCCTTGTCCGCTAAGCTCCTCGACTTCTCCATGGACTTTGGCTGCTGCCCACCCTGCTCACCTCTCATTCGCTTCTGCTCTTTGCATCCTGGATTTCCAACCCTCGGATCCATGAAATTGGATCCGCCTGCCTCTCCTCGATCGATAATTTAAATCCTGGTGACCATTTGTATTATCTCCTTAGCCCACTCTCTCCTCCTTCTACAGATTGTTCTATTATCTATTCCACTTGCCCGACTTCATCGATGATCTGCAATTACTTCCAAGCATACTTCTCTGACCGCACTCTATCCTGAGATCTGGGCCCGCTGGATGCAGTTGCTATGGTTACCTGTGGCCTCCCAGAACCCACCCAGCCTCCTCTTCCTGTCTTAATTGAGGGCAGCACCATCCACCTAATTTTCTCAAGCTCAAAATTTTAGAGCATCACTGATTCTTCTTTACTCTTTCTCTTCCCTCAACATTCACAGGGGTCCAGTCTTATTGATTTTGGCCACACATTTTCTCTGGTATTGGCTGATTATTTCCTCATTCTCACCATGGACCGGTGTGTGCATTCTTGACTCTGGCTCTGATCTTATGCTGTCCACCTTGCACCCTGTCCTCGGGCTTCTCTTGAAACATGGAGGAGATTCTGATCCTTTCCATGTAATCCCCTAATGCTCACTTCATGTATGGGGTAAAGCAGAGGTGTGCAAAAGACAGGCACTAAGCCAAAAGGAAGAGCAGCCTATTTGCCCCCAGTGCTGGGGGAGCTGAAGACCGAGCGCTGATGTACCAAACCAGCATCGAGTGCCATCGAGTCTCACGGGTTTATAAATTCCCAGTTACTGGGGAATCTGTACCTAAGTCTGTTTAAAGGTTCCCTTTAGTAAGGGGATATCAGGAAGTGGACGCTTAAAAGGAATCCCCAGGCACAATTACAGACATCGATTCAGTGCACATCTGCTTTTGCACACAGACACATGTTAATACCAAAGCTTGAGCTCTCACAGCTCAGTTTACACAGCACCGTAACCCTTCAGGATAAAGTCTGAACCCGTTAGCGTGGCCCAAAGGCCTTGGTGTTCTGGCCCGTGTCTGCTTCTCCAAGTCGGCCTCACCCCTCAGCTCAGCAGGACTGAAATATGCCCAGCCCGTCCTGCTGTGACCTCCACGTGGAACAGCCACCTGGCTGCTCGCCCCTCCCTGGGCAGGGCTCAGCTTGGTGTCCAGATGTCCCCTGGGAGGTCTACTCCTAACCCTTTAGGACATCCTCATCACGGGACCCCCCAGAAGGTGTCCACCTCCTCTCTGTGGCATCGTGCTGCGCCAGACCCCCCGGGGCACAGGGTGGAGGGCAATTCACTCGCTACAATTTCCATGTGCCCAGCACAGAGTCTGGCACACAGCAAGCTTCCAGCGGGTATTTTTGAGCAGATGATGGAATCCTGCACATTAGGTCCCTGAAATTGTTATTTTTAAAGAACATCGGTTGAGCCTAGTATAATTAATTTTTAACCACTGTAGTTTGAAGGCAGTCCACTGACGTTTTACTAAAATAGAAAGCAAATTTACCAGTGAGGCTGTATTGGATGAAAGATGCAAACGGTAGGTTTTCTTTTTAATCTCTGTGCTTCCTAAAAATAAACACCAACTTCATATGGAAATCAAGAAACTACTCATTATGAAGAAATGGACTCATCATATTCCTTTTTTATAAATTTAAATCATTTCCTTTTGCTTTATAGAGCATCCTTGGGGAAATATAGAATTCTCCATGAACTGGCTATATTTCATTTAATAATATGATGCTATTGGTCATATACACATACATGCACTGCGGTACAAACTCTTGATTTGATTTCCATAACAAAATTGATCACTTAGGAAATGTCTCTTTAAAGGCAGTGCAGGGGCGCCTGGGTGGCTCAGTCGGTTAAGCGTCCAACTTCAGCTCAGGTCATGATCTCACGGTTTGTGATTTTGAGCCCCGTGTTGGACTCTGTGCTGACAGCGTGGAGCCTGAAGCTTACCTCTGATTCTGTGTCTCCCTCTCTCTCTGCCCCTCCCCTGCTCACGCTCTGTCTGTCTGTCTCTCTCTCTCAAAAATAAATAAATGTTTAAAAAAATGAAAGGCAGTGCAGACGGAAGGGTCAATGTTGCTGCCCTCATTTGGACACTGACTTTGATTTAAGTCCCAGCCATGTCCCTGCCCTCCCATGACCTTTAGATTTCCCCGCTGCGCTCTGAATTTCCTAGAATCACAAAATGAGCCTGGGAAGGCCAGCACAGGGTCTGGGATCGGTGGACCTGGCTCCCAGTCTGCTCCGCCACCATGAACTGTGAGGCACTGCTCCACTCTCATAACTTCTTGGCTCATTTCTCTCAAAGGGATTTATTATTATTATTTTTGTATTTGTTTTTGTCCCTGCTGGACGGTGAACTCCTTGGTGAGGCATGGCCTCCTTATTCTTATTAATGATTTTAGTTCCTACCATAAACTTAAGGGCAATGTCTAGAACATCATAAATGTTCAATCAGATTGGAAGGAAGGAACACATGCATGAGCCAAACCAGGGTGACTATTTGCAAGCTGTGAGTGACATTTTTCGGGTGGGGAGCTCCCTGAAGACAGAGGCTTCGGTTCAGGTAGCCTGAGCCGTCAGACCCTGGTTCTGTGCCTGGAACAAAATAGGGGTCGAGTACATGTTTTCCTAATTTAATAAACACTGTCTAAGATTCTTTCAGGTTGCTAGAAAGTCATTTCATATATGGGAGTAGATAGTGAGAGGGAGCATTTAAACAAGAGCTTTGGAATCTTTTTCTTATTCGCTATTCAGGTTCCCACTCTCACACTGGAAAGGATCTCGCCAAGTGTCTTACCCTTGCTCGATCCTTAGTGCTAGAATAGTCCACGCCCTTTAATTACGCAGTGGCCCGATGATGGCAGACCACACTGAGTACACCCAGACCACAACAGCATGAGGAAGGCCTTTGCCTTTGTGTGGCCATGTCGATGTGTGCCAACCCTTGGAACTCTGCGTTCAAGGGCAGCGGAGGAGGCCATTGCTAGTGAGACCTGTTGGGGACAGCTGCGTGATAGAAAGACTCAGTCTCAGGATTGTATCATTTTGCCCAACAAATGCTCAACACCCAAGAGTGCCTGCATCTGCGTTTGGACCCTTTATGTGCATTGCCTTTTATAAATCTTGCAACAACTCATATTGTCTCTGTTCTGTAGATGAAGAAGCAGAGGCATAGGAGGCTCTTGCTCTCAGATGTGGTATTGAGCCTGCGGTTTTAACTACTGATGTCTGGGTATCTCTCTTTTCCTGCCTGTGCTACTCTACCTCACGCCAACGTCTTCATGTTTGAGAAAATCCGTGAAAGGGCAACCCCCCCAAGGATTATTTATTGAAGATACATGTGTCAGGGGTGGGGTGAAGCCAGGTAGGCAGCAACTGTCTGGCAGGTAGACTAGTTGACTGGAAGTGTTAACACATACCTACCGATCATCAGCAAGGTGGGTGGGGAGACTCTACAACACGGGCCCCTAAGTGAGTAACTGAATGAGGTGTGAGACCCTTGAATGACAACTTCTTGTCATGATCTCCCATGGCTGCCCACCTCCTGGGGAAGCCAGATCCATCCCCCTGCCCCCTGCATCGGAGATGGAAAAGACCAGCCAGTGCTTGGGAAGTGGCAACCTGGCTATATGCTACTGTGTCCACTTACGCTCTGCTCTAACGCTCATTCATGGCACACACGTGACAATTCCTCCACCAAGTACGGTTGGTTCTCATTATCGTCGTAGTTATGATCTGTAAAGTTGGGCCAACGCTGAATAAGCAGATACTCAACCACTGTCCCTGTGGGAAGTACAGCGTGAGGTTCCTGTGAGTCTCTGGCCACCTTTTGTCAACCAGTCAGTGCACAGCCTTGTCGTATGTGTGTTTCTGCTTAAGGACACTTTCTTTACCACACACTATTGATTCACGTAGAACTCACGGCCAGTAGCATGTAACTTGTGCTCGAACCACATTTGTCTAACACACGTGCATTCTCCACGAGGCATGTCACAGCCCATGCTTAGCGGCACTAGCCAGCCCTTCTGCACTATGCGCGGGGGCCACCTTAAATAGCAAAATCACCACCAGAAAGCACAAAAATGCCAAAAACGTGGCTGAGAGAAGGACACTTGTTGACAGTCTGAGCTGCAATAAGGAGGCAGAGCGTTGTCTTGTTTGACCTTGGCCGACAACACGCATGTTGGGAGACTCTAGTTTTTGCCACCTGAGCATGTTGTAGAATGAATGTAAACCCTCCACGAGTATTGATCTGGGGGTTACAAAGGAATTTTAGTGAGCCGGTGAATTTCTGTGAATTCAGAGGATCTACTGAGCAACGGTCCCCACCCCTTGCTCATCCCTACCTTCTCTTTACTCTCTCGGGTTCTCTTCCCACTTGGCTTGAAAGGTGTAGTGTCTGTACTGCTGCCTCCTCTTTCTATTGGCTCCGCCCTGCTCTCTCTGCGCCTCTTGGGGCCTCCAGCCCCCTGACCTTCCCTGTGTCCACTGGACTTCATGGCTGCATTTAGTGCCTCTTTCCTGACTCTCCTTTCAGCCAAGACTTCTCTCCTGCATGGATCTCTCCTCTTCCTCATGCACCCCAAATGGTGGTGTCCCCCAGGCCTCAGCTCTTCTTTTATGCACTGTCTTCTCTTTCCTGGGTGATCCCGGGCACCCCCAGCACTGTGACGCCCATCTGTCCGGAAAGCATTCTGCCTGCCATGTCCACATTGCACCTCTGCGGTATTTCCATACTGTGCCTTAACCAACAGCATGCCAGACACCTCCATCTGTGTCTTCTGCCACATGCTCAAAGCACAGTTCTTCCCTTCGGGGCTGGTCTTTCTCTTGTAACCAACTCATCTTCCTGGTTACCTAGGTCTGAAACATAATTCTCCCAGACTTCCTCCCTGCTCTCCTACACCCAGTCACTGCTTTCTGCTGCCTCCTTCTGAAGGTCCCTGGCTCTGACCCTTCGCTGGCCTTGTGTGGTCGCGTCTTCCTGATGGTTTCATCTTGTTCCCTCAAGGTCACCTCCACATGTCACCAGAGTTATGTTAACACTGGTGGGGATGGGGGTCGAGTGGGACACAAGGAATCAGGCCCTCTGCACCATGGTGTGGCCAGATCTGTGTCCCTGTTCCTCTCTGCCTCCACCTCACACAGAAGAGTGTCATGGCTGATTATTTCCATGGGCCCCCAGTCTGGCTCCGATCTCCATTCCCAGACCCCTGGTGCCCTGCTACAGCACCCCACCCCCAGATTGTCCACAGGGTCTCCTGCACAAGATGAATGTCTGGAATTACATTTCTCATACTGTATTCTAGCCCCTTCTGGCTTCTCTACAGCTGGCAATTTCTTCCTTTCTTTCTCTCTCCCTTCCCTCCTTCCTTCCCCCCTCCTTCCTTCCCTTCCTCCTTCTTTCCCTTCCTTCCCTTTCCCTCTCCTCCCCTCCCTTCCCTCCTTCCCTCCCTTCCTCTCTTCCTTCCTTCCTTCCTTCCTTCCTTCCTTCCTTCCTTCCTTCCTTCTTTCCACTGAGGCTGCACCTTATTTATCTTTGTACCCCTAATACTGAATGAATACATACATGCTTATTGATCAGATGAACGGATGGCTGTAGCTGAGGCCTGTCTCCCCCTTCACTGGTTTGGGTGGCTCCCTTCCTTGCACCCTCTCTACTGCCTGCAGCTTTGCCTCAGAGCCCCTCTGGTCCTTCCTTTTTTGAGACTTGAGCTTCCTTTCTGGGGCTATGTCCCCTTCCCCCTGCAGGTGTCTCTCTCCTCTGCGCACTTAGTATGTTTGCTCCAGTTCCTAGCGCCATCTTGGATTTCCTTTGAATACATCAGGAGTGCTGGGTCCTGGGCCTCCTTGGGGAGAAGGAGGAGAGCATGCGACAGAATCTAATCCCTCCCCTCTTCTCTCTTTAACAGCAAAATGCATCAGAAGGAATAGAAGTTCCAGTGAAGAAAGATACTTCATGAACTGTGTAATTTTTCTTTTGATCAGTCCCAGTCCTTAATAAATGTCTTACTCTTCCTCTTTTTTCATTGTTTGAGTTTTTAAAAATAAATGGGCATAACTACCAAGTTTTTAGATAAGAAGCAATGACACGAAGAGATTAGTATTACCTAAGGATTTTAGGAGCTGAGGACTCACAAAGTGGCCATGCTTAGCCTAATTATGTCAAACACATGTTTTAGATCAATATGCAATGACTGTAAATTCCTTATTCTTATTTTTAAAATGTTTTTTAAATTTATTTCTGAGAGAGAGAGAGAGAGAGAGAGACAGCGTGAGCAGGGGAGGGTCAGAGCGAGAGGGAGACACAGAATCTGAAGCAGGCTCCAGGCTCTGAGTTGTCAGCACCTCAGAGCCCGATGCCGGGCTTGAACCCACATACCATGAGATCATGACCTGAGCCAAAGTTGGACGCTTAACCAACTGAGCCACCCAGGTGTCCCAATTCCTTATTCTTTTTTTTTTTTTTAAATATTTTTATTTATTTCTAGGAGAGAGAGACAGTGTGAGCAGGGGAGGGCCAGAGAGAGAGAGGGAGACACAGACTCTGAAATAGGCTCCAGGCTCTGAGCTGGCAGTCAGCACAGAGCCCGACGCGGGGCTCGAGCCCACGAACTGTGAGATCATGACCTAAGCGAAAGTCGGATGCTTAACCGACTAAGCCACCCAGGCGCCCCTCAATTCCTTATTCTTAAAAAGACAATCAGTCCCAGGCAGCTGGGCATCAAGGGTGTCTTTCCTTTTGTGACTTATGTTAATTTTAAATGTAAAATTTAGGGACGAAAAGGTGATTTAGGAATGAAAAGGCAAAGGCAGTCCCCTCCCTACCACCAAAATGCCCCTGTGGATTCTTTTTCTCTAGACTTCTCAGTCCAGGGTGTCAATATAGCAAAGCCAGCCTTCTGTCAAAGCAGGTATTGCCAGGAAAGAACCCAAGGACAGAGTCACTTAGCAATTGCTGCAGTAGGAGTCGCTCCTGGGGCCAGGCCCTCGTGGGGAGCCCTGAGAGGATCATAAGATGTGAGAATCTGCAAACCCAAATGCAGTGCCTCACCTGTGGGATTGAAGCCCTGTCAGGTTCCCCGGCTTTCCATGAGGACGTCACAAGCCCCTGAGGACTATTTCCTGGACTGGTACTACTCTAAGACGTTATTAGTCCTTCGCATCTTCATTTAGAAGCAACAGCCTTCTCCTGCTCCCGGGGCAAACTGCTCCTCTCCCTACAGCTTTTCAATGTCTGCCAAGGCTGGACCCTGCCTCACCCACCATCTTCCCTATTTTTCAGAACTTTCCTGGTTATTCCCATGTGCTTATTTTATTTCCATTTTAATCAGCAATGTCAAGTCATGAAAAAAAAAAAACCAACCCTTCTGTTGATATTTTAAATCAAATTATACCAAATTTGTAGCTTATTTTGAAAATTTGACATCTTTAGACTTCTGAGTTTTGTTCTGTAAGTTATATGACCCTTAATAGAGTTTAAGGTTTTTTGAGGGGTGTGTTTGGCATAGTTTTTAAAATATTATTTTTTTTACAGATTTATTTATTTGAGAAAGGAGAGACAGAGGGAGAGAGAGAGAGAGAGAAGAAGAGAGGGCAAAGGAGACAGAATCGCAAGCAGGCTTTGCGTTGTCAGCACAGAGCCTAATGTGGGGCTTGAACTCATGAACTGCAAGATCATGAGCTAATATTAAGAATCAGACGCTTAACTGACTGAGCCACCCAGTTGCCATCTCCCCAAAATTATAAATGAGATCCTTTTTCATTAGATTTTATAATATAAAATTGACTAATATATTAGAAATTTGGCCTGTCTTCCTACTGTAATTTTCATATTGATTTTAATGGGTCTTCTGTTGTTATTCCAGAGTGTTCTATGTATACCACATAACTTTTGCAAATAATATTAATTTTGTCTCCTCTTCATTTTTCAGTGTCATTTCTTTTTTTTTTAGTTGTTATTGTTATTGTTTTTAGAGAGACAGGGAGAGTGCAAGGGTAGGGGGTAGGGGAGAGAGAGAGAGAGACAGAGACAGAGAGAGAGAGACAAAGAGAGAGACAGAGGGAGGAAGAGAATCTCAAGCATGCTCCACGCTCAGCTCGGAGCCTGACATCAGGCTCAATCTCATGACTCTGGGATCATGACCTGAACCAAAATCTAGAGTCAGATGCTTAACCGATTGAGTCACCCAGGTGCCCTTATTGTCATTTCTTTCTTTTTCTTATTTTCTTTGAGTATATTTCAACAGGGTTAGATAGCAGCATGGTGACTAGCATCCCTGTTTTATTTCTTTAAAAACTATTTTTTAATGTTTTTATTTATTTCTGAGAGAGAGAGAGAGAGAGAGAGAGAGACAGCATGAGCAGGGGAGGGTCAGAGACAGAGGGAGACACAGAATCTGAAACAAGCTCCAGGCTCTGAGCTAGCTGTCAGCACAGAGCCTGACGCGGGGCTTGAACCCACGAACTGTGAGATCATGACTTGGGCCGAAGTCGGACGCCTAACCGACTGAGCCACCCAGGCGCCCCAATCCCTCTTTTATTTCTTACTTTGATAGTGTTCTGAGAAGGATTTCAGCCTTGCACCATTAAGCACCCAGCTGCCTTCTGGCTTGGTGTAAGGGGTTAAGGGGTGCTTATATTTTCTACCCTATTCAGGTTGCATCCATCCTTCCCCTTTTAAGAGTTTATAACATAAATGTACATTGAGTCAAACATCTTTTGAGATGTCTCTTTTTTGAATTTGCATTTGGAGATTTGGAATTTGTCTTTCTTCTTTGATAACAAACCAGTGAATTATACTAATATATTGCCTTAATTGAACCATCTTTGCATTTCTGGAACAACCCCACTTGGCTGTGGTTTCCTGTTCTTTAAATATGCAGCCAGATTCCAGTCGGCACTGCTTCATTTAGGATGTTAATATCACCTTTCATATGTGAGAGTGATCATAGTCTTGTTTTGTGCTGTCTTATCTGGTTTTGGTACCAATCTTGTGAAGCCCAGCACAGCCTGTACATGGGACTTCCACCGCCCACCATCTCCCAGGGCTCTGGTCTAATAAAAGAACAACTGTGGGGGCACCTGGGTGGCTCAGTGGGTTGAGCTGTCGACTTCGGCTCAGGTCATGACCTCACAGTTCATGGGTTTGAGCCCTGTGTTGGGCTCTATGCTGACAGCTCAGAGCCTGGAGCCTGTTTCAGACTCTGTATCTCCCTCTCTCTCTGATCCTCCCCAGCTCTCTCTCTCAGGAAAAAAAAAAAAAAAAAGAACAACTGTAGAGGGCAGGTGTGACCTCTTTAGTGGTCAGAACAGTATATTAACCACATACACAGTAATTTAAGTATTTCCGTAATCTGCATTCCCCAAGCATTTTTGCCAACACATTTCTTCCACTGTCTTCTGGAAGGAGAGAATAGAAAGAAACAGACACAGCCTGAAATGATCAATCCCTGCTCAGCAACAGTCCTGGGTGCTGGGGTGGGAGTTTGCTGGGTCATGGATCTGGTGGAGGAACTGTCTGATTTGTTCTAGAAATGTGTGCATGGGGATTGTGTGAGCTATTCCCCTCACTGAGCACAGGCACCGTGCTCTCACTTGGCCCATGTCTTCTCCCAGCACTGATGTTTCCTGGGCCTTGGCAGGCCAGCAGAAAGAGAAACATTTAGTGGGGGAAGTGGGCTCAGCTGCTGTGGACAAGCTCCTCACACTCGGCGGAGGTATTTCTAATTCCTTTGGGCCACAATTCAAGTGAGTACTTTTCTGTTAACCAAAGAGACTCTGTGGGTTTCCCATGAACGACACACACCTGTTCCTTCCCAGCTTCCGCCGGTATAGAAATCCTGGCACAAGACAAACAGTGACAAACCTCTCTGTAACAATGTCATTGTGCCACTTGGAGGCTGGTAGCAGAACAATTTTGGCCTCTCTCCAGAGGCAGGTGTGACCAGAGCCAACCTCGTATGAGGTGACTTGCTTGCTAGGGAATCATTAGCAGTATGCGCAAGCATAACAATGTTGCATTCTTGTGAGCCCCTGGGAACATGCACACCTCTCTGGGGAGGCCACATTTGTCCCTTGTCCCTTCACAGCTTGGATTAAAAATTGCCCAGAATTCCAACATTTGATTTTCTTTTTTCTTTTCTATCCCGGAAGGTCTCAGTGTGGCTTGGCTTGTCACCAACATGTCACACACCATGCCCTTCTTCCCACACCCAGGGTATGTGTGCCGGAAAGCTGTCGGGTCAGGTCTCACCTTTGGAATGTTCTGTACTGTGGATGTCACGTTCTGAGCTTTTATTTATTTTTTTAATATATTTTTTTATTTATTATTTCTAGGAGAGAGAGAGAGAGACAACGTGAGCAGGGGAGGGTCAGAGAGAGAGGGAGTCACAGACTGAAACAGGCTCCAGGCTCTGAGCTGGCAGTCAGCACAGAGCCCGACGCGGGGCTCGAACCCACGAACCGTGAGATCATGACCTAAGCAAAAGTCGGACGCTTACTGACTAAGCCACCCAGGCACCCCCCGTTCTGAGCTTTTAAAATGAAGCTCAGCTTGATCAATTCTGAGTTTTCTGGACTATCTCTTTCCTTCTTTTTGTTTTCTTTCCTCAACACTTGCCTTGTCCTTTCCTGGGCAGTGGTATCTTCAGAACTTCAGCAACCCAAGGAAGGCAAATGAAGACTTCCCACGTTGCTCAATAGTCCTATGTGAAAATCTCTGTTTATGTGAATGGTAGATTTTTAGGAGGGTATGGGGGACCCACTGTGGATGAGTGTGAGTGGGGTGAGGGGAGAAGCCCAAAGGGGCTTCAGCTGGGGCTGCAGCTGTAGTGGGTAGGAGTGGGGCTGGGTGGGCAGGCTTTAGGGTCTCAGGACGCAAGAAGCCTAGAATATGGTGGGAGCCAGAGCTCCCTGGAGTCTTTCTGGAGGTGATTGGTTAGACTTGTCCAGAGTGGTAGCCCAAAAGCCTTGCTATGTTACATGGTTTCTTAAGGTTACCCTAGCTGCTGCCCAAG